AAATCCCAGTGTTTGCTAAACAATGGCAGAGTTAAGGTGCTTGGGTTTCCTCGAGTTGCACAAACAGATGTGTCTGTAAGAGGTTATGATATTCACAATAATGGAATCCAAGTTTTACAAAATGCTTGTATTTGTTCCTTTCAGCTTTTTGTGGGAGTCTTACTTTTGAACATCCCCAAAACAAGTGGGCTGAGCTCCCACTACCACAAAAGTGAAAACTTATTCATAAGTATTAATTATTCCTAACACAGACTGATTCAGGACTCTAAAGTTTCGAGATCTGCCCCTGATAAATATAATACAGCTGTGAGCAGGTAGAGGGCCTTTAACATGAGTGAGGGTGACATGTAAAACTAGACCATTCAGTTTCAGGAAAAACCACTTTGGACTGCTGTGATTGCGAAACCTGGTCTGTGGCATGCTGCTAAAAAGTCAGTTAAGAAGCAGTTAAAGTTTTCATGGTAATAAAACCTGTCAAAATTTCTCTGAAATGGGCTCAGCACTCCTCTCGCAAAATGGCTTTTAAAGGTCAAACCGTAATTCGTGTTTACATGAAAGACGACATCTGACGACCTCCCCTGGACCCTTAATGGATGTTTTTTTGTAAACCATTCATAAAATAATTAAAAATGGTACAACATATGTCAAAACACTACAGAACACCACCGAGCCGATCATTTTGGTTTTTGAGCAGTGCAGGACTAGTTAGGTGCAAAGGTTTCTTTTCTTTGGTTTTATTTCAATAGAGAAAAACATATAGTAGGATTGCTTGCTTTGCAACAACCCCACCAATAATCACCAGGGGTTTCCTTATCATTGTAAAATGTTTATTCTCTTAGGTTTATAAAACCCTGAAAACCTTTGTGCTTGCCAAAGCAAGTTGTTAGATTTATACTCTGAAATAAATGCTTTTACGTAAAGGCAGCAGTCGTACATAGATTGAGAGGGTGAATAAAGATAAATCACTCTCTTTCTGTTTATTGTCTGTCAAACAAAACTACTCTCCATCATTTTCACAGATTTCTGTTTTCTAATCTGCTTTTCTTGTGTTCTGTATCCAATTTATGATACGTCTTCTGTCCTTCCCCTCAGTGCAGCTGTATGATAACCACAGCTTCACTGCCAGTCCTGTATCAATCCATCCACGCTAAATCCCAGAGGAATTTTCCACCACCCACCTGGCTCTGTTCTCCTTCATCCATGTCTTATTTCCCTGCATTCTTTCTCACACTTTCTTTCTGTCATACTCCTTAAGCCCATCAGCCTTTCTATCATTTATCCTCCTGCCATCTCCTTCCTGCTCCTCTCCGTCTTTCTCTCTCTCCCCCCTCTCACTTCTCTCTGCGTCTCCTCTTTTCCTCCCTTCTCCCTGTTCTGGACACTGTGAGTGGAACACAGATTATGTCAGACATTTATAAAACCGGATTAGCTAGGATCACCTTCACACATGCACACACGCACGCAAAAACAGATGACTTCGTACACCCCCACTCAAACCCTAATTTTAGCTATCCATAGATACACTGCAATGCCAAAAGTATGCGGACACAGCTGTTTACATAATTACTAGCAACGTATGCTGCACTTCTGGTCCTTTTCTGCAGTTATCTGAACTAAATCTCCCTCCAGGTCCAATGAGGATGCCTACCAATACAAAGGAAGGGTCAATAACGTGCTTGCACAGAGCAATGACACTAACCCTGTCCGACACCTCTGGGATGACCTGGAATACTGACAGCTAGCCAAGTCTTATTGCCCAGATACACTACTTGTCCTCACAAGCCCCTCTGTTGCTGAACAGGAGCAAATTCCTGCAGCCACGTTTCAAAATCTTGTGAAAAAGATGAGTAAAAAATGCAGTAGAAGCAATAATGCCTTTTAATTATTTTCTATTCTGTGTGGACATAGTGTTTTAATGCAAGCATTTTGCCATTAGGTATGTTGAAACTAACAAATACTGCATCCATACATACATATGCTATTTCCGTCTGATCCATGCAGTTTTTCCCCACATGGCCTCCACACGCACGACCTATGACTGCAAAACCCCATGATATACACCATTCACCTACAAAGCCTCTGACGTCATATTGTCCAAAATAACTGACTATGCACTCGTGACACAAGCACATGGCACTTGAAGCCATGCAACTCTACTTCATTACTTCATGTGAATAAGTCAGACGCAGCAACGCGAGCAGAATCCACAGAATCGGTAAGAATAAAAATATGAGCCAGCTTTCTCTCTGTGCCATCTCTCGCTTTCCTTCTCTCTCTTATTCTTTTCTCCCTGCATCCCCCACCCTCCCTCACTCAACCCTCAATTTCTGACTCAGCAGAACAAGACAGATACAAGGTCATCTGACTGCTGTTGCTGTGGAGCACTCGATTTGGGGGGATTCTTCCCTCCCCCCTCTTTCTTGTACTGCAAGGCGGGTAAACGTTGGGAGGTAGAGAGGCTGAAAGGAGGGAGAAACATCAAGGCATGACAGAGGTTATGGAAGGGTACAGCTGGCAGCCATTTTAATTCAAATGAAAAGAACTTTATTAGCAGCAACCACACTGACAATGTCACCCTCACTGGCAGCACTGAGTGCTTCAGGATCAAATTATTAAGCCTAGCTGTGCATTGCATATATGGGCTACATATCTATTTATTTGATGCAAGGATTTTGTAAAGCTGAAAGCAACAGAAGCTGTTGAGATAAGGGTAAAAATAATAAAGATGTTCTGCATAAAATATCTACATGTACAATGTGGTTGCAGAGTGAAAACTGACAGTCAGATTTAATCAAGACTGCTCCCCATCCATGAAACCCCTGAGGTTTATAAGCATATGTTATTACTGGCTGGATACTAAACTGCATTAGTGTTGTGCATTTCTTATATATCTCGTATAGATTATCAAATCACATTGCTAAACTGCTCAAGCTTTACGGACATATCTTTAGATGGATACTATTAAAACCCGATTCTTCATGAAACCACAATAGAAATGTTTGGGGGGAAAAATACAAACAGAACATTCCTAACAAAAGACAGCTTGTACAGTTGAGTATATCTTGTAATAAAGGATTAGATAAAGAGAAAACATGATGCTCTGGAGCCTTCTCTTCCACCAAACCAGCTGAACACAGAGAAGGTCAAAATCTTAGAATTTTCCACCACAGTGACAGAAAAAGCAGGTTAGGTTAGGTGTGCATATTCATGTTACTTTTCATAGTGCCGGCACTGACTTTAGGGTGAGCATCCCACAGGCAGAAGAGTGGGTGGTAAAAGGTCAACAGCCAACATTTATCTGGATTTACACAGAAGCCTGTTATTAATACAGACGGGGCAAAATGTTCTTTGAAATCAGATCTTAGACAAGCAGTGATGGAAAAACAAAGTGTCAACGTTTAACATCTTGTTAGTGTTGTATGAGTGGGATTTACCAGAATGTGCATTTGAAGCTTTACCCCGTCCATCTGGTTGTTCGGGAAGGTTATGAAAACACCAAGCATCCACAAACAAAATGATTACTCACTGCTAATTGCATCTCATTGCGTCTTTACTGATTCATACTTCCCATATCAGATTAAATAATAAAAAATAAAAATGCAATGTGCACCATAACATCTTGTTTTAATAAAGCATCACGGCTGACTGACCTCCAACTCTGAGCTAACCTCATTCTGATGCTCTGGGGCTTCACGGGGCTGAGTGGTCATCGTCTGGACCCACAGCAAGAAACCCAGTGAGGCATGACAGCAATCTGCTGCAGGGACAGCACGCGTGACTCCCAGCTTTCCCTTGCAAATCAGGCATCGCTGTGCATGCATGCATAGTATATATGTGTGTGTGTAACTTAGCAACTCTGCATGTGTGCTTCCACTGCAGCATCACGCCTTCATTCCAAAGCACGAAGAGGAAAAGAAAAATGTACGACCAAAACCATCAATGATAACTCACTGCTACACACGTGCCAGCTGCCTGTCATTTTTGCATGTCCTCTGTTTGTCTCTCTTTCATGCTCTCTGTCTTTGAACTCTCTGGCACCGTTACAGAAAGCAAAACTCATCCCAGCCTGTCCATCTTTCTGCCTGACCAGTGTTTAATGAATGCAGTCTAATTTGTTAGACTATCTCATTAATCTGAGTGTGTATCCTTGCAGAACCGGTCAATCCTGTGTGTAGGATTGACAGCTAATCTCATAAATGTCAAGTAAAGTGAGCCTTCCGAAAATTATTGTAGTGCTTAAACAATCCAAGTTGTATTTCTTTTTTACTTCCATTAAGATTCATCTAGTTTCATCCTTTTTTACTTTCCTTTTTTTAAATTTTGTTTTGTTTTTTGCTTAGAATAAGTCTCCCCGTTGGGTGAGATGCTGACTCTGCATTGTCAGAACTGTACACCTGCTGATGGAGCCAGTCAGGTTGCAGGCTGCTTTCTGCAGCTGACCATGCATCCCGATATGCAGTGACAGACTAATGACTGAACTGTGGCTCGTGACTTCACCCTCATTCTTTCTATCTGAATTTCACACACTTTGGATGTCCTGCTCTCTTTTCTCTGGCTGCTGTGCCCGGGCCCACTACTGAGGAATGGATGTGCACAACATGCTCATGATAGGACCAACACAACATCCAGGTGCTTGCTTTATACATGCAATAACCTACTGCACAAAAAACCCCACTATTTTATGGGACAGCAATACATTACACGATGAACAAACACAATCACGACAACTAGAATCTAACCTTGTGCGTCCATTTATACAAAATTTCAGGATAGAGACTCGCGATGCTGCTGGCTGCAAGCCTCGGAATTCTGCATTAAAGCAGGAGGGGCAGAATTATATAGTTCTATTGGCTGGCTTGTGGAGTAGGATAAATACAATTGGTCGGAGGCGCTCATTGGCCAGCTCTGTCAGTTCTCGATTCACCGATTCGCTTCTTTCACCGGCGGAGTGATGTCGGCAGAAATGGGGAGGGAGGTGGTACTTGTGGCCACAAGTATCAGAGAGCAAAGGGAGGAAGCGGTTCCCCGCGTGATGCTCCGCTTGAGACTGCAGAATTTCATTTGAAAGACGTCCCACAAGGGGAAACTGCAGCCTAACCTCGCCGAAGGTTTGAGAGACAGTTTATTTAAACCAAAGACAATTCTTCTGTCAGTCGTTTACCTGTGTTTTTTTCCACTATGCAACACAAAACAACTGAGCATATCTTCTTTTGCTTTTCAAGGCAAGGCATTTTGATATAGTTCAACGTGAGGGGCTGACACCTCTCAAGCCGTGCATCACCTGAGAGGAAAAGAGTGACTGCGTCAACATGGGGGTAAGAACCGGCGATTCCAACTTTTTTACTGCGTTGTAGCCCACCTGAAGTGGCCTGAAAAGTGAGAGGTAGCCTAAAGCCTAAAGAAAAGCTGTCAAACTGAGGCGTGATGTCATTTTTGTTCTTAATGGAAATCCCGTTTGTCTGAGTGACATTGACTCTAATGCGGAACTGTGTTTTACGCCGGTCTAGACTGCGACAAATTGATGTAGCCACGAGCTCTTATCTAGTGCAGTAGTGGAAACGAGCTTCTTTTGGACTGTTCACTTTCATTCGACTTGGATCAGTTATTATTTCTGGCTCGTGTGGGCTAATTTGTACTGGGATTCTCATTAATTGCTGCCCCCGTGATGAAATGTTTAGAAACGAATGCCAAAGTCTTATATCTAAGTACTGTAGGTCTGTGATGTTTCCAGCTTGTCGGTGTGTCAGATGTGTAGGCTCTTTTAAGTCGTATAGGCCTTACTTTGACCATAACCTTGCCAGCCATGATAGGCCTAATCGGTTTATTCTTCCTGTATGCTCCTGTGTATTAGAGGAGGAGCACGTGTTAAGGTTATTCCCCTCCCCATCATTAAGCTGCAGTTTAAAAATAATACTGAGTTTTGCCACATTTTCGGCAGACTTGCATGCACTTTCTTTATGATTAAAGACCGCAGTGCATTATGACCTCCTTCATGCCCTCGCTGCCCACCCCCACCCACCTCCACCTTCCTCCTGCCCTCTGCTGGGTTAAACCCCGCTGGCATCCCCCCCTTCTGCGGTCATCTGTTTGCGCGCAAGCGAAGCAACTGTCCGGTGAGGATGATGAGCACGCCGCGTACTTACACTGGACGCTATCAGCTGAGGAGTCCATCCTCGGCACCCTCGCTGTCCCGTGCGTCATAATGCGGTTACCACGAATAAGCGCTTCACCAGCTTAGGCTATTTCCCCTTTAATTTGTGACATAACAGGGACTCGATAATCGCCAGCAGTGACTACATTTACACACATCACAGATTAAAGAAACGACGACTCCAGCCGGCTACACGAGGAGAATGACAATAATGACAATAAGGTTCGTCAGTGTGACTTTAGAGGGCTCTCTTCTACTGCGCGCATCCATTAAGCTATTAAACGTATTTGAGCTGTTTCCGGGTATATGGATAAACTTATCACTCGTGTAAATTGACCAGTATGGAGTCTGGTGGAAAAATACAAGGTAAAGTCAAGATGCGGCTGGTGGTGTGAGTTATTGCGCAATTCGGCTCCATCGCCTCGCCATGAAAGAGTAGTAATATTTAACCCCTGTGCACCGACTGAGCGATGCGGTGGCATGACGCTGCAGTAGGAAGACCATGCGGAGCTGAGACATTTCCAGCTCTGCGGAGGCAGTGCAAGCCGGTTTCATTACAGTGAGACCAGCTAATGTTGCCCTGCAAAGCCTGACATTTCTGCGCCAACAGAGAGGTTCAGTGTGTTGGATTCCGGGGAGGTAGAAGAGAGCCTCCGGTCCATGTCAGTGTCTTCTTATAGATGTGGAAGCTATAGTGGGCACTGCGTCAAAAGGGATGGGAGTGCAAAAAAAAAAAGTGCTTACGCATGTGCTGCTGATGCTGCTGCTGCTGCTGTGTGGAAGTTCACTGAAGCAGTGAGAGAGGGACGTTGAGTGGAAATGGACTGTCATTTCAGAGGATGTCCTGTCTCCTCGGAGACTGCTGTTATAGAACAGATCAATAAGGAATATGAGCTTCCCTTCTGATGTCTTAAATCATAAAGAAAGTATATGCAAGCCTGCCGAATGTGTTTGCGCTTAAGGCGCTGAGGTTACCCTAAATGGAAAAGATGGATGGATAATGGAATAGAGCTGTGTATGGAAAAGTGTCATCACTTGTGCTGATGTACAGCACTGACTTGTCCCTCTTTCCGTCTGAGGATTTCGCACTAGCGCACTGTCCTATAGCATTGCCAGCTGTCCTTTCCCAAGGCCGCAGGGGGCACCGCTTGCGACGTTCCTTCTGCTTCAAACCGGGGGCGGGGCCTCTGGTGTGGAAATTCCCTGTAAAAGGCTGTGATAGGCTGGCACGAGCAGCCACGCAGAAAGGACCCGGTTAACAAGAGAGAATAGAGCAACCAACCGGCACGTTTTGTCAGACACAGAGATATACGTTCTAAATTTGGAGGACAATCTCTAAGGAAAGAGCATGATGTAACGCACACATAGGTCACCTTCTCATCTTTCTCACTGTCCTTTCTGCATTGATGCAGTTACTGAGGATGAGTCCATGGGAGGAATGTAAAGTGAGATGTCGAGGAAGGGCTGCACACATGCAACATCTGCAGCTGTTTATCTTCAAACTCATGACACAAAGGAAGGGAATGTGCCACTGCTGAGAGAACAACGGGTACAGAGAGAAAGGAAAGACAGATTAGTGGTGGTTGGTTTGCAGGAGTAGTGAGAGAAAGAGAGAGGGATTTAGAACGAAGGAGGTGGCATATGTTGAGGGGAGGGGTGGTTGGATGTATATCCTGTTACAGGATAATCACCTGAGGCTCACAATACCGCAGCTCATGTTTCCTCTTTCTGTGCCTGGTCATATTGGTTAACCGGGAGAGCAGAGAGAAATGGGATGAGGAGAGGAAGGATGTACTTGGGTCGAAGCATAATAGGTCTTAATAATTTTTGTTTTCATGATTGAACAGTTAGTGTTGAGGTGAAGAGGTAGGGATGTAGGGATTGTCTTTAAACCCCAGTAAGGAAAAAAGAAATTAAGGTGATTTGGCAGCAGAAAGGATTTTTAAGAAAGGCCATAATGGCTGATGGTGATGGGTGTGTCTGTGCTGCTGTTAGTGCAGTGTGGCTGAGGAGAAGCTCCTGATAAAGATAAGTCCCCTCAAAGACTGGATTCATTCATTACCTTATGATATAAAGGCTTTCAAACTGGTACCAGAGAAGTGTGCGCTGCTATAGAAAAGAAGTTGGAAGGTGTAACAGAAAGTAATTCAGGAGTTGGATATGTGTGTCCGCTGCAGAAGCCCAGCCCTCAGTTTGGTGCAGAGTGCTGCACATCCCTCCCCATTGCACCTGCTGCCTGATGCAGATAGGCTGCACTGAACCACAGCTGATGTGTCCTGCACGTTGCAAGAGCCAATAAAAAAGCATAAAAGATCTAATGAAACACAAGTTTATCATAGACCTGTGGCCCAGAGGTCAGTTAAGGTCAGTATGGTGATTCTTTGAAATGGACCTCCACTGCTCGCGTCAAGACACTTGGATCAATAGACGTCCTTTGTAATCAAAGCAATTTTTTTAGTGAGAGTGCTGCTTGAGGATAGATTTCTGTAGTGCCTCAGCAACACCCCTAGAGTTAGCCTCCCTGCTAGCTTAAAACTAATAAGACTAGACTTGAGCTGCGAGCTCGTGTAATTCTAATAAAATGTAAAGGTCAGTGCTGTCTCCTTTCTACATTACTTGTAGAACAAAATTACAGTAGACGGACAGAGTGATTGATGTGGCCAACAGTTCTGCAACATTAACGTGCTGATGGTCTCCCATAAAGAGACCGAGTCAGGAGGGTTAGGTTGCCTGACTACGGCAACATGACTAATTCAGGGTGTTGTCGTGGAGATGTGTGTGTCCCTTTGTGAATACACTAAAGGAGAACATGTAACACTGGGCAGCCACAGTGGACAAAGGCTTATCACAGACCCAAAAGAGGTCATTAGCTCTCTGTTTGTTACGATTTAAGCTGCAGCACTCTGCAAGGAAATTAATTTTTTTCTTTTCTGTAAATTTATCTTGACTGTTAAATTGTGCATTTTCCATTCGTTCCTGCATCTGATAGACTTTACATGAGGGACCCTGCATGTTTTAATGGGATATGTTAATAGGTATTTGGTAGTTTTGCAGTCAGCAGCTGGTGCGTGTAGATGTGAGATCATTAACATCTGCATATCTCAGTGTGACCTCTTGCCTGATAGTTGAGGTGCCCTCTCTCACACTGTGGCACGATGCCATGTTTTCTACCAGCGCCAAGAAATTAAGATTTACAATACTAGTGTCATGTAATTAATGTATTCTTAGTGCTTATTTTCTGATTATATTGTTTGATGTACTTTAGTAATGAAGGTGCTCAGCTAAGTGCTCAGCCAGACTGAAAAACAGGAAGTTAGTGTAGAGCTATACAAGCATATTAATAAATACAGGAAGCCAGAAAGGAGGAACTTGTAACATATAAGGAGTTGTTGAAACTATGTGTGACGTGTAAAGTACCAAAATAACACCTATATGTGAGACATTCTTATGTCATTCTAATGTTAGAGATCCTGCAACTGGCATTGGGCTGTGCAGGGCTCTCTCTCTCTTCCGGAAGATGATTGAATAAAGAATTAAATATAAAATGTTTTGACCGCTCTGAGTCAGGTGTTCTCTGTTCTGTTATGGGGATCAAAGAATCTGGTTTTAATACTAGTCTAAATCAGGCAACATTCACTCTCAGACCAAGACACACAGACAGTAGTATTAAAGTCCTTAACAGTGCCCAGCATTATGCAGTCCATCGTACAGAACTATAGTTACACAGTTACACACAAACGGTCTCTATGGGTTGAACGGATGCAGATAATGAGGGACAGGCAGATGGACACAAGGCAGCAGAGTGGAGGGGAGGGGGGGGGGGGGGGTTATAACGCTGAGATAAAGCTGAGATTGTCAGTTCGACTTATCAGTGATTATGTTTCTTGCTTTTGTTTATTTTCAGTTTTCGGAGCCACCCCAAAGTGGATGATTTAAGAGCTGTACAGAGTTAATCTCTCTTTGTGTGTTTGTGTTTCCTGAGATTAAGATTTTGTTTCAGTACTCAGCCACAGTCTTTTTATTATTATTATTATTATTATTATTATTATTATTATTATTATTATTTATTATTATTATCATACATACATTTCATTTCCTCCAGTATTAAAGGAATGTCAGTAGGGACCGGTCCGCCTCTGTCTGTTTCCTTCAGAAGGGTTTTCC